GGGGTCTAATCAATAAGAGGTTAGGAGGAGGAGGTGTAGAGAAAGTTATCCTGGATTCTGGGTCTGCCATTTTCTAAGGCACAATACAGGAGGAGAGGCGGGTTTGGGGGGAAGACAGTAATTGCATTTTAGGCACTAGGCACTGGATAAGCCTGCAGGCCATCCATGTGAGGATGAATAGATGGGCGTCTCACCTAGGAGAGACGTGTAGGCTGGAAACAATGCCAAGGATTTCCAGAGGCATCACTGTCTCCACTTAATGAGGAAAACAATGACATTTGGAGAAGGGGCTTGTTCAAACTTGTCTGGGAGAAATAAAGTAGATTGCAGTAGCGGGATACTGGCTGGGAGAAGCAAGGAGGCAGAAGTCTCTCCTGGGAGATTTGGGATCCTTGAGGGCAGGATTCCACTGGGAACACCAATGTTTTGCAGAATAACCAGGCCTAAAGCAGACCCTCTCTTGAGCCCTGTGTCCCCAAAGACAGACTAGTGTAGTTTAAAAAGTCCTAGCTCCGGAAATGTGAAATCCACTATGAATCTATGTACTTCCTCGGGTGAATCCCTTTCCCTCTCTGCGTTTCCTCTACTGTAAAAGGAAGTTAAACAAACAATCCCTGGGTCCCTTGTAATTCTAACACAGACGGATCAGTAATCCATCTCTTTAACTCTTTAATTTTTTTTAATACAAGCCCAGGACCATTTCTTTTCTGAGTACTTCACTTCTAATTACAACGTTAATATAATTCCTATAGTGTTCATTGTAGAAAATTTGGCAAAGGTGCAAAGCCTAAAGAAGAAAGGAAAAATCACTACCATATCACCAGTTGGAGACAAAACTGCTAACATTTCACTATAAGTAACTTCTACTGGCCTTTCTTTTACTGTGGAAATACACAGTTTATGTTCTTTTTTTTTACAAAAATTGGGTAATAATATCCACTACTAACTGAGCGTCGGACTGATACACAGGCTCAGAAACAAGTGCCCCCTCCCCTCCCAAACACCAGCAATTCTTACAGCAACCTTACAGGGCAGATAGCAATGTCCCCATTTTATAGAAAAGAAGATTGAGCACAAAAAGGTCAAGTGACCTGCCTAAGGCCATATGGCTAGAAAAAAACCAGAATTCCAGAAATCTTACCATACTAGCTTTGTGAGCTGTTTGTGTGTGTGTGTGTGTGATTTTTTTTTTTTACTTAATTCTGCTTTAACATGCTCTCATCTCATTTTTCAAATACTTTTGTACCATGTTATTATAAGTACCTTCCAGGCACTAATTGCACAGTCCTTCACTGGTTAGCATCTCAGATGTTTTCAGTGTTCACTCTCACGAACAATGCTATGGTTATCTTCTTTCCACTCAGTGGTAATTAATCTCCTTAGGGTAAATTCGTAGAGGCTGAACATCTAGATCAAAGGATATCTGCTTTCTTAAAGCTATTGACAAATAATATCAGGTTGCCTTCCCCCCTAAAATTGAACAATTGTTCTCCCTGTAACAATTTATAAAAGTGCCGTCTACCTGCGACCTCATTAATGTGGAAAATTATCTTATTTTTATTAATCTCTGCCGATGTAATAAATGGAATTTCTTATCGGTGAAGTTGAACTTCTAATGTCATTGACAATTTCGTGATTCATTTTAATAAGCATTTATTATATAAACCTTTGGGAGATGGGAAAGAAGTGAAGGAATGGGAGGAAAGACAGGGAAAATTAATTTTAGTCATTTAACAAAAATCAGGTACCTAACCTATGCAGAACATGTTGTAAACCCTGCAGGCATTAAAATGAGTAAGAGCGAGCAGATATTGAGCACCAAGGCATACGGAGTATCATGGGAGACACTAAAGAAGATACAGTTTTTAACCTCCAAGAACTTGCAAGCTAGTTAGGGAGGGAGAAAATCAACACACAAGGTGTTTGGGCATAATGCCTCCCTCCCCTGTTCTTTCATGGGGCTGCCTCCCCACATCAAGTATGGCTTTGGGGTCAGTCTTAAAACTATTGTTACTTGTCTACAAGCCTTATTTCCTGATCACCTGAGAGCCCCAGAGGGCAGGGATGGTGTATTACTCATACACCTGTCACATCACGTCAGTGAAGGATTTCATAATTCCTTCACAATTATTCAGTGTTATAAAATAGCAGCAGGCTGCCAAGCCCTCTACCCACTGCCCACCCCTGTTCCCATATTAGTCCACCGCACGCCAGAGAGCATAAGAAACACATGTACCAGGTTCTAGGACTAGACATTAAAGTAACATTAACAGTATTAACTTACTGGTTTGATTAAATAAACCACCACACCACCTTCAATTGTCAGAATCCTAGGATGGTCACCTGCCAGTTCAATGACATGGCCCAACATGTAGAGAGGCTCAAGGGTTTGGGGTTAGTTTTTCACTTTCTCATAACTTACTGATGCTCACATCCCCTTCCTGCCCTTCCAGGACCCCGCAAACCTCATGATCATCTCCCACCACCCCACCTGAGTGTCTGGTTCAGGAACAGGGGCTCCCCGCTCCACGGAGACAGAACAAGGCTCAGTTCCCCTCCCACAGGCTACACCTTTCCTGGCCCCTCCGGGCCCTTTTCCCCTTTCGCTCCCCTCTCTGCAGCTCCACACCCAGCCCCCGCTAGGTCTCCTTTCTCTTTTCTTCTCTAAGGCACATCTCACAACACCATGGATGGATCCCCAAGTTTCCCCTTTACTGTGCACTCATGTCTCTTATCTGTGTTGCCCAAAGCATCTATGGCCCGCTCGGCTAAATAAACATTTGCTTCCCTGAATTAACTCAAATTCTGATTCAAGAGTGTTCCAGATTTGTGAGGGCTGGAGGGTTGGAAAGAGGTGGCCGCCACAGTGGGGCTGGAACCGGCCTCAAGTGTAAGATTCAGGTGACAAGGTGGCCAGGGGTCTTGGTCCCCTTAAACCTTTCCTCCCTCTTTCCCTCCGCCCACTTGTAAGGAGCCTTTGGGAATACAGGGAAAAGGTGTAGACTGTTGGCAAAACACACTTGAAAGAAATGAGGAGAGGCCATCGGCACAGCCTTCTGTTCGTCCACACACCAGCCTCCAGAACAACGCTGGCTCTTGGACGCACAGCAGGGCCCTGAGAGAGGGTGGCTGACAGGAAAGAATAAGAGGACTGTGGAAGAGGGAAGGAGATCAGAGCAAGAAGGGGGGCGAGTTCCCAGAAGTGTGACTGAGAGGTCCTGGAAGGGAAAAGTGAAGCCATATTTACCCCTTGCCCTATGCATATTGCCATGTGCATCAGCCAATAAGAAAACTCTCTGTGCCCACACACCCTCCCAGAGGTCACCAAGAGAACCATGGGGTCGCAGTGTGTATAAGATCATTGACCAGAGAGGCCCCATATTTGGGGGCATATCTCTCAGACATCACTGAGTGCCACAGGACACTCTGCACCCAAGACCACCAAGACTCCCAGTGAGGGGTTTTCAGACTGGAGGCTGCTGCAGAATAACCATGGAGCTGAGTACAATGGCAGGAACATGCATTTTTATAAGCATCCTGTGACAATGACACAGATGTCCAAGGACCACAGTAGCGTATCCAGATAAGACCATTGTGGAGCTCCAGCCTGGTCCCAGGAGGCTAGTGGCTTCCCTTTGGACCCTTGGAATCACCATCTATCAATGCCTCAGAGGCAGCTGACCTGGTCTGTCCGCAGTGAAAGCCCCTCCAGTCATCCCTCCTCCTCAGGACACCTCCATGCCCCTCCACCCTCCCTCTCCCTGTCTGTTTCCTGCTCTCAGCAACATTTCCTCTGTGCCACTCAAAGCCCCCAAAGCCTACTGAGCCCCTTACACCTTCAACCTTTTCCCAGTGATCTTACCCTGTGGTCCCAGAAGAAACCCAACTCCACTGCAGACACCACTTCCCAGGGGCACCAATAGCCTCTATGATGCCTTGAGTAAATTAGAAAGAGAAGGCCCCTCTGAGGGTAGAGGGGGCATTGGTTAAAAGTGCTCCCCTCTCTCCCCAGGACCTAAAGGGTGGTGAAAGCTCAGATTTCAGCCGCACCCTTCCTCAGACAGAGCACAAACTACACCAACTCTAGCCTGACCGCTTCCCTATAACCTTCCATGGAGATGGCTCAACCTCCCACTCCCCACTGGCACCAAGATCAAGAAGGGAGTGCTGTCCTCTTCACTCCCCAGTGCCATTTCCAAACCTCTGCTCTTCCCCTTCCTATAGAAGTCTCTGTCATTTGAGACTCGGCCCCATGGTCATAGGCCTCCAACCTCATCACTGAGGGCTGATAGCTTCCCTCTGTCCCTTACACCTACCACCTTGCTATGTAACTTGGATGTCCACGACTTGTCCAGCACCAGTGTCTCACAGCTCACAAACCTCCTCATCTCCATTCCCCTTGGATTCCCCACATCCAGGAACCTTGTCAGAACTGCCCTTCATCAGAAATCCCAAGATCTAATAGTCCAGCCCCAAACAGCAAGCCATTTCCTGTGTGGCTCTTGCCCTGCCCTCACTCCTACTCCATCTGCTCCTCAGCATCACAGACACCCCTGGTCCCGAGTCCTTCATTTGCTGCCTGCCCAGCCGAGACCTCATAGTGGACCACCTGAACCATACTCTCACAAGAATCTACCTTCAATCTCATTTTTCTGGAAAAACCCACCCCTAATGAATCCCGTGATCTGCCTTCTACCCTCCTTTGCCCAGGCCAAGTGCTGCTGAAGAAAAGCACACAGTTCTACCAATGGCACATGATCTCCAAACTCAACTGGGTTCTGAGTGCTGCAGATCGAGGATCCTTTAACTCATGCCTTGCAGGCCATCTCTCCCACTCTCCTCAGGAACTATTCCGATCTCTAGAGCCCTCTTCAAGTCCCTCCCATCCAACCCCAAAGCTCCTCTGTCTTGGCAGACAACATCTCTTCTTATCTTGATGAGAAACTTGAAGCCATAAAATGAGAGCTGCCTTAACTTTCCTGTTCCCACTACATTCTTACCCATCTCTGCACTCCTCTTTTTTCTACTCTCCAGTCTCCCAGGATGAGGGTTCTTCCTCCTGCCCCGGGCCAGTCTCTCCACCTGTGTTCCCCACCCTTGGCACCCGTCCCCCTCAGCTTTCATCCCTTAGCTTCCAACCCCTCCTTCTCTAGTGTTTCCTGCCTCTCAGCCTATAAATATGCTCCAGTTTTGCAACAGTCAAAAACAAACAGAAACCTTCCTTCCCCTGGGTCTCCCAGCCCCATCTTATCTTCCTCCTTCCTTCTCTACTGAAACCTACACTTGTTCTTCCCCACCGCCTCTTCTCCCCTCCCCAACTCATTCCATTGCAGCTTCTGATCCCCTATTTATCACCCTCCAGTAAAAAATCAATATCTTCCCATTGCCAAATCCAGTGGATAATTTCTATACTTTTCTTACTGTTGCACTTGACCCTACTGCCTCCTCTTTCTTGCAACTGTCTACTCCCTTGTGACCGGAATACCACTCTCTGTCAGCGTGGGTCTCCACCTTGGATTCCGCTTTCACCCACCACTTAATCACTGGAATTCCCTGTCAATCATTGCTTAAACTACTGCTTTTTGCATCCACACAGTGCTCCTAGACAAAAGTTTATATTGTTGGCATTTTCGCTATCACTGTATATTCTGATAACTCGCAAGTCTCTATCATAGCCTGGGTTTTCTTCCTGAACATCACGTTTGTATATACAACCGCATGCTAGACATCTTCGTTGGGATACTTCACAGGCATCTCAAACGAGACCTAACTCACCATCTCCACCTTTGCCCTAAAAATGCTCCTCCCGTGATCCCTATCTTAGTCAACGGGACCATCACCCTCCCGTCCTGTAAAGCCAGACACCTGGAGTCATCCTAACTCCACCCTCTCCTCAGCAACTATCTCTAAATCTGCCTTTTTTTTATTGCCTTAATATTTAAATTTTGTCCCTTCTACATCCTACACCTCATGACTATTTTGTGATAGCTCATCATCACTCACCTGGACTATTACAACAGCCTCCTAATTGGACTGATTCCAGATTTTTCAATCTCACATGTACTTCCCACAAGGTCACTAAAGTGATTGATCCAAACTCAAGTCTGTCCATGTCACTCTCCTGCTTTAAAACCCTGTTGCCTGTAGGATAGAGTCTTAAATTCTTGGCATGACCTATAAGGCCTTGGTGACTTGGATCCTATTCACTCCCCAACATCAGCACATCACCCCTTGTCCTGAACACTATGTTTTAGTAATGCCCTGCTCCTGCCATACTGTTTCCTACCTCCATACTCCTCTCATCCAGAAACACCCACCCCCAGCCACCCCTTGTCCTTCAAAACAGCTCATCCCCCATTTACTCCAAAAAGCACTCTTGCCCTTCTTTCGTACTCCTAAGGCATACGTGAGCTTACCTCTGCCTTAGAATTTGCCCACTGTTTTGAAATTATCTGTTTTGGGGCCTACCTCCCAACACCAAACCAAATTCAAAAACAGGGATTGAGTACTTGGTACGGGTCTTTGCACCCTCTCCCCCAGCCCCCAGCACATTGCCTGATACATAGTAAGTAGTCAGAAAATAATTATTGAATTGATTGCCACAGCAGGGCAATGAAGCAGGTATTACAAGTGAAAAAACTCAGACTCAGCAAGTTACACACTAATAGATGAGGGAGCAGCAACTTCAAATCAACTCTAAGGACTATGCTCTTTGAAACACAACCTGGAAAACACAAGCTAAGCGCAGAAACAGAAATGAGAATGACATGTCAGTACATTGCCTAAGGGTGATGGTGTATGCGAACAATCTAAGGAAATGAAGGTGGGCAAGATTCTGGGGGGCTGAAGAGTATGGACTGAGAGTCCTAGCATTGCTGGTTCTAAGCAGAGTCCTGATAGTATAACCTGCAGGGAGTGCCAGGCCTGAGCAGCCCACTAGCTAATTCTACATGCTGGGCCTGAGGCAGCTGACATTCCCACACTCAATGATGCTTTGTGACCATTTTCTCAGTTCTCTCTTAGAAATAAGCTCCTCTCTTGGAAACAAGCCTCCAGGAAGTTCCTAGTATAGATCAAGACACGGGATATCCCAAGGATATTAGAAGATAAATAAGTATGGATCTGTGTAAAAAAAGAGCTGCCATGTCCCTCAGCCTCCACTGGGAGGTCCCTAGCCTCACCCCCTACTTTCCAGCAGCCTTCTCCTTCAACTTGAAACACAGAAGGCAGCCAACCAAGGAAGTCAAGAGAGACATGAGACAAACCAAGGAAAGCTCAGGCCCAGGAACCCATAGAATCGCAAAACAGCATAAGAGGGGGTCATTAGATGCAGCTAACGGCCCACACCTGCACACATCAAACAAGGCCATCCCTGCACACCTCCCTCCGAAACTCCGTGTCTAGGAGATGACTGCCCCGGACAAGGAAGGCACAAGGACACAGGGTTGCAATGATATCAGCAAAAGAAAACTAAAAATACCATCCTGTGTTGACAAAACACAGGAAAAGGCAGCAAGGGTGTGGATCACAAAGGATAAAGATAGGGTGCCCTTCTCTGGTAAACCCGTCAAACAAAGGTGAAGAGCCAGGATGACCTCATTAGTAGAGAATCTGGCAGGTATCCAGGGCACGAACTCCCCCAACCTCTGTCCTCATCCTAATCTCTGGGGGCCAAGCCAACCTATCCTCTTCCCTAAAGGGTTCTGGGACAAGGAGAGCTCACTTCCTGCCCGGGGAAGGAAGCTAGAGCAGTCGCACCTCTAAATCATAGTTTTCATTCACAAATGGAGACATTCATACATCATATACCTGTTCCTCTGCGGACTGTGACATAAAGGCCTTTGGTTTACAAAGTTTCACAAGAGAAAAGGATCTGTTGTCCTCCTTTCTTGCTTCCCTTTAGCCAACCAAGCCCAGCTCCATCTCAGTTCAGCTGCAACAGACAGCTCATTACCAGCTGGACAGGCTGTGTCCTGGAGCCGGAGTGAAGCACTTGCAGCCCTGACTCACCTTTCTTTGCTCAAGGAGGGGGTGAAGCCTGGGATCTGTGAATTCCCCTCTGGAGGAGGTGTGGGCAGCTCCCAGGCACCACCTCAGTGGTATCTCTCTAATAAAGAACAAGGACAGTAAGAATTTAATGAGCGCTTTCTCTATGCCAGACACTGCACTTTACATGCACCATCTCATTAAAAGTTCCCAACAACCTTATGAATAAGTACTACCATTATCCCCATTTTATAAACCAGAGAATAGAGCAGTTCGATATATTAGTTTGAGGTCACATGGACAGCCCACGGAGAAGCAGGTACACAGGTCTTTCTTCCTGACTCCAGAGATCCTGCTCTTACCCTCCCACACAGAAGGGGCCATCTTCCCTGTTGCCCCGCATATCTCCTTCTCATTGTATAGACTATGATTCTTCTTTTTTTTAAAAAAATTTTTTTAAGTAGGCTCCATGCCCAGCGTGGGTTCAAACCCACAACCTCGAGATCAAGACCTGAGCTGAGATCAAAACTTGGACACCCAACTGACTGAGCCACCCAGGTGCCCCTGATTTTTCCCTTTTGATAAAGCTCAAATTCTCAGAACTCTCTTGGTTTCCCATTGGTGTGAAAGTTTCCTGAAGTTAGAAATCATTTTTAATCTTCCTTTGGAAGTGATACCAAGAACATAAATTGAAGGGTTCAGAACACCATGGATGTTTAGTAAATAGCATTTATTTGTTATTATTAAAACCATTAATATTCCACGTATCAGGCAATTCCTTTCCTCTAGAGCAGGGTTTCACGACCTCAGCACTACTGACATCTGGGGCTGGGTAATTCTTTGTCATGGGGCTGTCTTGTGCATCACGGGATGTCAGCAGCAATCCCACCACCAGCAGCTGTGACAACCAAAAATGCCTCCAGACATGACCAAATGCCCCCAGGCAGCAAAATCGCCCCCAGCTGGGAACTACTGCTCTGGAGTAATCACATAAAAATGATAGTATTTATTCCCTCAGAGTCAAACAGCAGGAAAGCTTATTTCTACCTACAATAAAACAGTGCCCTTATTACTCATAGATAATAAATATGAGAGTTCCTGAGAATTACTTATAAAAGAAAAGCACCAGAGCATCAATTTTAGGAGATCAAGGTAATGTTCCTGTTACGCCTGAACCAAATAACTTTCTGTCTGTAGAATCTTTCATAGTGGGACGTCATAAGCCGGAGGGAACCCATAGCCAAAAAAAGGCCTGGGTTCAAATCCCTGCTCATAGCTCCAAAACATTTTTTGTAACAAGATGGAGTAGACATAACTATTTTTGTATCTCAGCTCCTTTTCTTACTAGCTTCTGGTCAATTCACTTAATATTGCCGAATCTTAGTTCCTGTAAAATGGAGGTGAAGTTTCCTTGCTCAGGATTGTTGTGAGGATTCCATACAACTGCTAGAAAGCAACCATCTCACAAAGCTTGGCTCAAGAGGGCTCAAACAGAGTCCCTTCTGGGGTGCTTGGCTAGCTCCGTCAGTTAAGTGTCCGACTCTTGATTTCAGGCCAGGTCATGATCTCAGGGTCTTGGGATCGAGCTCCAAGTGGGGCTCCACGCTCAGCCACGCTCAGCGGGGAGTCTGAGTGTCGCTCCCTTTGCCCCTCCTCCTCCTGCTCATGCGTGTTTGTGTGTGCTCATGCTCTCTCTAAAACTAAATAAATCTTTTTTTAAAAAGTCACTTCTTTCCCTGTCTCACTTGTCACCAGGCTCTGATGTCTGATTTATTTTTGTTTTCTCCATATTATCCAGCAGAGCACTTCTCAACCCCACAGAGCTTTCAAAATGCAGATGTATGACCCTACTGTACACCAACTAGATCAAAATCTCTGGCTTGAGACTATATAATGTGGGTATCCAAAAAATGTAGTCATAAAAAAGGTAATATATTATCTTTTACATAATTTTATTGATGCCAAAAAATAAAACAGTAATAATATTTATATCAGTTCTTAAAATATGATATTAGTCATTAATAATCAATACATTATAAATAATTTAAATAAATAAGTATATCTCCAAAT